TACTTTGTGTGCCTGTGGACTGAACGGTGTTTGTGTGTGTGATAATGGTGCAGGGAGATGATCCAGGACAGGCCCTAGGAAATAAGGTGGACATCTACAACTTTGGTATTGTTCTATGGGAGCTGATAACAGGGAAGATCCCCTCCGAGAACATGTCAGCAGTGCAAGCAGCATTCGCTGTGGTAAACCGTGGGGAATGTCCGACAATGCCCCGTAACTGCCTGGCAACCCTTGCGTGCATAATAACCCAGTGTTGGGATGCAAACTCAAATGCCCGCCCCCATTTCTCTGTTGTAGTTCAGATGCTTGAGGAAGCTCAAAATGAGATCTTCAAAATGCAAGGCGAGCTCTCTTTCGATGCGTATCATTCAACCTTAAACCAGTGACTGATATAAACTCTCTCTCAAGCTCCATGGAGCTTGATATCATTGTATTTGAGAGCGCCATTGATGGTTCTGTTGTTGTCTCTTATAGACTCTCTCTCTCTCTCTCTCTCTTTCATCTGCAATGCTTACTATATTACATTGATAAAATTACTGTGTATTCATGCTTCTTTGTGTTTAAATAGTAGGTTTTCTGCATTGATTATAAGAAATTTTTCATTGCTTCCCTTAGTTAATGCATCTCTATCAGAGCATTTTTCTAGACCTTTTTGCATCAGATGGGCCCATTTTATTTCTCTATTTTAAATGTGCTAGTTCACACACACATAGATATTTGCAAAATTTGATTTGTAGACAGTTAAATCCTAAATGTTTGCATGCTTGTCAAAACGATTATATCCACTTCAGCTTTTACGGAGTGAGTCATGATGGAAAACAATGGATGATTCATCTGCACCATCTATCATGCTTACAAATGGCTGATTTCATCGCAAATGTGAGATATTTTGAACTTATCATATTGATATTCTCTTTGTAACGGCATTTTTGGAACTTTCATGCTATTCTAGTGGAAATCTTTGATACTCTTCTTCTTTGAGATTGTATTATTACTTGAACTGAGAAATTTTTCATACCTCTAATCGTATTATTACTTGAACTAAGGAATTTTTCATACCTCTAATCTACAATCTCAATCGTAATATTACTTCAACTGAAGAATTTTTCATACCTCGAATCCCTGTGGACTATGGATGTTAACTGATCCCACTTGCTATATCAAGGGCTTGTCGAACTGCAGCCTTTAGTGGCTGCGCCTTATTGTGCCACTTCATCATGGGCTGTCTAAGTCGACCACCATTTGCATCTTCTACATTGATACAACAACCATAGGCTTCCACATGCTCCAATAAATCTAATCACATTTGGGTTCATAAGGGTGACAAACATTATAAGTTCTTGACCAAAATCATGATTCTCCTCTAATTCCTACTTCTCAGTGTTTTTCCGCCGTCTCTAGTATCTTAATTGCTACCTCCTCTGCATTTAGGTGGTCGTATACAGTTGATCAAAAGGTCCTTAAGCATAGGCCATTGCTATCTTAGATCGATAGTCCACTCCTTGTAGTGGTTTAACCCCTCGAAGGGTAACTATCGTCGATTAAGGCATACCCTGGGGTATCATTCAGGAAGAATTCTCTGAATTTCTAGTTTTTAAGACACGGTGGATAGCCATTAGTTCCTGTTACAAGGTTGGAAGGCATCGAAACGGTGGTATCAATAATGTGTCACAATTTCTCTCCCATGAAGATCACTAATGGAATTTCTTAGTAATTAACTATAAAAATGTGTTCTTCACATCCAATGATCACAATTTTTAGAGCATTTACATCTAATGGCTGGGCTACTACATTGTGATCCAAACCACAATATTGTATCCACCCAAAGAGGTCCTTAACTCCACATTTACTTTTTTTTTCTCTCCGATAAGTCATGACTTTGTTACTTATCAATCTTCTTATCAATCTTGTCACATTTTTCTTTCACTTTTAATTTACTTTGTATTCTTTTTTTGCTGCACTGAATTCCATTGTGCCCTTCACAGTGCAGGGCATCATTAGTTTTCTCATTATATAACAATATATTTTGGGATTTTACTCTTTAAGTTATTTGACTATTTCTGCTTTCTACTTTTGAGTTGTGTTTCCCCCATCAGCATGAAGATGTTCCTCCTTTCAAGTTTACCCAGAGTTTTTACTTTTGAATATGGGTATTAAGGTAAGATGGATTCTACATTTCAAAAGCTAGCTTTTTCAAAACTTTGGATTTGCTCATTCTAAGTTTGTTTTGGAATGAGAAAGTGTTGGATATCAGAGGTTTTGAGGATATGGATATCCTGAATATGCTATCTAAAAATATCACCCAAACGACCTTAGGCCATCAAAACCTGTACATGCCAAAAAAAAAAAAAAAAAAAAAAAAAAAAAAAAAAAAATGAATTGGCATATCCTAGGGTCCCAAAGGACCCAAGGTAGGTATGGACATCCTTATCTCTTGTTGGGTCAAAGACGCAGTTCATGTAGGTTTTACCAAGTTCGTATTTAGGTGGATTTAATCAAAAGATTTGGGAAGCCATAGGGTAGAAAGGCATTAGGATCTCACCGTTTGTTATGATTTCATTGTTCACAAAATGGGCAGGTCGACCCAGACCCGCCCGAGTCATTCAGATATGATTATTGGGATGGTCTGGTTAAACCCGATATTGGTGGTGAAGCTCAAGATCTTAAAAATAAGTAAATAACTAAAAGTTATAAAAAATTCAAAAAACTAAAAAAGTTATTTCTAATTTATCTTTTTGTGTTTTCTATCACAACCGCAAAGATTGGAAAATGTTTTGGCCATGAATACTCAACTTTACACTTTACATTTTCCCTTCTTTTTTGGATTGGTTCTAAAATATTTCGAAACCTATTTTTACTACTTTTTTAACCTCATTTAAATGTATTTTGTTTAATTTTATTTTAAACATATTTTTCATATTCTTTGGGATTTTCTTTTTTAATTTTCTAAACTCTTTTTGGGCTAGCCGGTACCTTCTTACTCATGATACAAGTTACTCAGCCCAGTCCAATGTCGGAAACCAAGCCCTAGTCATGATTTTCTACATAGAAACATTATCGCTCCCCTATATACACCCCTATATACAGGAAATGATTTTATGCATCAAGATTTTCTACATAGAAACATTATCGCTCCCCTATATACAGGAAATGATTTTATGCATAAGTTGTACAATAATATAATGAAACAACTTTCAAAATATATAGAAGTGAACACCGCATTACGTGTGTATGAATGAGCACACACGTGTTTGTGCCTTCACTTGTGTGTACTAGAATTGGTTCTCAATAAAAAAAAATCTTAACATAAAATGATAATTCTAGTCCGTAGCTCGTGTGATGCACACGCCTGGCAAATAAAATTACAAGCTATTTTCTAAATATTATAAATATATTTAATTGTATGAGGTCAAAGTTCAAATTTAGAATATTCATGAAATTAAAATGCACATTTTTAATTATACAAAAACAATAGGAAAAAGTTTATATAAAGTTGCAACCTTAAAATGTAGAACTAAGGTGCACCGCAAAAATCCATCATAAAAGGTTGTTTTTAAGTTAGAAAACCATGTAATTGATCATCTCGACATCGAGATGTATTAATATGAAAAAAAAGAAAAAGGATTTTGAGTCTTAAAATAGTACATCTTTCAACACATTATCTGAACCATCTATTTTCAATATTTTCAAGTGGTTTTAGATCTACTTGATTTGAACTATTTTTGGAGTTTAAGATTTTATAATTAGAGATGATTCTCAAGCCCTCTTAAAAAATTTTTATACCAAAATTATATTTACAATAAAATTTAGAGGCGGCAACCTTATACGAACCCACCCGTATAAACAACTAATGTGCTAACAAGTTTTGCTTATTTTCAACAAATTTCCACTCATTTGAAGCAAAGATGTTGTGCTGCCGTGCTGCAAAGCACAAGTATATGTGTTTCCCCACCTATTGAGCCCATTTTGACACATGCAAGGGACTCAAGAAAAACCTTTAAAGAGTCCCAATTTATTATTTTCCAAATAAGTTTTAATTTGGACTTTTGAAGAACCTCAAAATCTCCCTCCCCCCATCCTGGCCATATCCAATATTCATGTTATGAAATTTTAACGGGATTTTTTTGTTGGTTTTAAGCAATTTAGGTGCACACACATGTACACACATATAAATATATTGAGCGAGATTACCTAGGATTCGAATCATTCATAATTTGCCGATACATGGCCGAGGTCGAAAAGTTGACTTTTCGGCATTATAGCGACCTAATATAGAAAAATAATTCAATATCGAGAAGTCAACAACGTGTACCACGTATTTATACTAAACTAATATTAGCTTCGCCTCTCTTTATATACTTCCACACACATACACACAAAGAGAGAGAGCTTTGCCTCTTTAGTTGAGGCTCATTCCCTTACAACAGAGAAGCTCTTTTCTCATTCATTTTACATTTGTTGACTCGTTACTTCTTTTTTTTTTTACATACATAAATGTGCATTATCCTTTATTTCCCCCTATCATAGTACTTGACTCTTTAATTTTTTGTTTATCTTTGTTTTGTTTACATGCACACTTACATACTCACTTTCATACTTTTTTTTTGTTTTGTTTTGTTTTTGTCTCATAATCAGAGAGGCTCTCTTTTTATCATTCTCATTTTTATGGATATATTTATTTATCTCTCTTTTGCTCGGAGGAGAAAGCAACATTTCTTCCTTTTCTTGATGCAGATAGGGGTAAAAATGCCCTTTGAGCAAAGGACTTGCCATGAGAGAACCAACTTTGCTTTGTATTTTTATTTTTATTTTATTTCTAACAAGTTTGCTTAGTTGGCTTTAATGTTCATTATTATAATATAGTGTTTTAAAACCCGACGATTCCCAATCCAGATTGCTGATTTGGATGGGAATCAGTCTGAACCGAATTGGTTTTGGGATAGTGTGGCTCTTGAACCAGTTCCCCATTAAAACCCTATTTTATATTTTATTAATTTTATCTTTTTTAAAGTTATCTAATATTTTTTTAGGTCCTCCAAAATCTGTATTTTAATTTTTACTTTATTTTGTTTGTTTTATTAATACTTTCTGGATCAAGTCTAATTCATATTGATGTAGATTTGATCCAAATTGCTGATCTAGCTATCTGACAATCCACCCCATCGATCTGGGTTTTGAAACTCTACTACAAACTATGGGTTATAAAAAATTATACTCCATAATTTGGAAATACTTTATTTATTTATTTATTTATTTTGATAGTTTTTTTTTGAGATTTTCCTATTCATTAGATTTATTTATTTCTCGATATTTTGTTTTTTTGTATGTTTTTTTTTCTCCATATCTTTCTATTCATTTACATGGCCGATTTTTAATTCTTTTTTGTTTGCTAGTGTGTATACTATGCTCTTGTGGGAGCATTATTATACATATCTACTCCCTCGATCAAAAGACA